TGACAGAAAATGCCAAATCTGTCAAAACAGTGAAATTGAAGATGAGAAACACTTTCTATTTCAATGTAGTCATTACACTGAATTAAGGAACACATTTTTTAACAAATTTAACATTGTTCCTATTATCTGTTCAGCAGAACAGCAATTTATCAAATTATTAAAAAGTACACATCAGGAAACCATTATTGAACTTGATCAACTTATCTACAGTTGTTTTCAAATGAGAAAACAAAGTTTGAATAAATAAATTTACCTGCTGTCTCATATCAGAACCATAAAAAAATAACATGTTATTGTAATATTACCATCTACGCAATGTACTTATTTTACTTATATCTCAACTGAATTTTCGGTCTTTACTTTTTTATTATCATGATTTTATTCTTTATTGTAATTTTATCTATATCTCAACAGAGATTCGATAACAATAAAGTTATTACTGTTACAACGCAATAAATCGTTGGGTTTTATTGAATTTCATCTCAGATCTGAAGGGCATTTGAAACTGGTATGGAGTTGAAACTAAAAGTAGAATATTTCAGGGAAAGATTGTCTGGGTGATGAGTGTTCTGGTAGACTGGCAGTGGGACATGCCATTATGCGAGAATGTAGAACGCCGGGGTAGAACGCGACACCCACAACGCTAATAGTATATTTTCTTCCAAGTTTTACACAGCAATCATTTTTTATCTACAAATCAAAGAAATAGTATAACTACACCGTCCCTCGCAGTGGTGGCGGCACGGAGGGGGAGGATTTTCAAGCTCGAACGTATTGTGTCAGCAAAATGTGCCCCTCAAAATGCAGGAAATAGCGTTACAGGGGGGTCTAGATTTCAGAGAGTGTTTGGGAATGTTGCAAAGTTCCTCGGTAATGCGGGAGTTAGATGTATGTAAATATTTTGACACCGTCGTCATGCAGCGCGTGTTCCAATTTCGTGTAATAACAAGAGAACTGGTGATGGTTGTGAACCATAACTGCCTCAGCACAAGGACTGTTATGTAATACGAGGAAAGGTAAAGGAAAAAGTATTGTAGCGTTACCTCCGTGTAATTTACAATATATCTGCATCAACTTCACTGTTAAGGACAATGTGGGAATAGAAGCAAGGCTGCGCAAATTTTGCGAAATAGTAGTTAGTTAGAATTACTAGACATTGTGGGATATCGAAATATGGATGATAAACAGCAAGTGATATTAACCCATGAAACATACTCACACATATTCGTACATATCATCCTATCTTATTGTGTGTAGGGCAAAGCTGTCATGTACACAATCATAATAACTGGACATGGTTTAAGAACGGAAAACTGTTTTATTACTGTAAATAATTACGAACAATGAAACTGAAATTTAGAAAAAAACTGTAAACAATAAATAATGAAAATCTGTGATTTGGTAAAGTTTGGTTACATAAGTCAAATTTTGTTTCAATACGCATACAAGCACCCGTATACATTTTGACAATAAACTCCTCTTTATCATTGTGCAAATACAAACAAGACATTTAACCTTCCTGACAGTAACATGTAAGTGTTGTATAAACCCAAATGAGAAGTCCGGAGTCACGGCGAATACTTCTAGCGAGTCACTCTTCAACTGGCCAAGGCTAATCACTAATGTGCGGGGTCATTAATTAAATAATAATAATTGTATTAATACTTACACATTCCCCGGAGGGATTGGCAATGGTTGCACGTTGTCGGAACCACAATCGAACTGCGGAAACCACAAAGAGATACGTTATGTACTTAAGTTAATTATTATTGAGTTAGTTGATTGGCTATTCAGTAACAAGTTACGTGAGCCCAAACTTCCGGCCACACTGTATGTATACTTTCAACACACGCTTTATTCGGCAGTAGCTGTATAGTATTCGTGTAGTCTATATCGTATAATAAAGTCTCTTTCCTTGACTTAATCGATC